GTCCTTAACTATAGCTCTGATGTTGTGCATTTTGTTCATCTGACATATCTGCTACTTTGGATCTTTTGACCTACATCTCATTTCCCACCTTCCACCCATTCCCGGCAGCCACTGTTTTATTCTCTACCTCTGTATAGTTCATCTTTTTAATTTTTTTAGAATCCACATATAAGTGAGATTATGCAATATTTTTCTTTCTGTGTCTGGTTTTTTTTTTTGGGGGGGCCTGGTTTATTTTGTTTAGCATAATGTCCTAGGTGTCTATCCATGTTGTGACAAGTGACAGGAACTCCTATTCTTTTGTGGCCAAAGAATATTCCACTGCATATATACACCACAGTTTCTTTATCCATTCATCCACTGACAGATATTTAGGCGATTGTGAATAATGCTGCAATTCACATAGTAGTGCAGATATCTTTACAAGGCAGAGATTTCATCTCCTTTGGGTATATACCCAGAAGAGTGATTGCTAGGTCACATGGTAATTCAATTTTTAATTTCTTTAGGAACCGCCATACTGTTTTCCACAATAGCTACGCCAATCTATATTCCCACCAACAGCCCCTGTTTAGAGCAGTTATGTCGTTTGTTCAAAGTCAAGTGGGCAGAGATACACTTCTAATCTCCTAACCCTGGGTCTCTACTCTCTCTATGGGTCAGTTTGCATCTTTAGCTTTAAAACATGTGATTAGATCTCTCAGTTTGAATTCTCATTCTACTCAAGGCCTCCTATTTTTAGAGCTGACCAAGCTCAGCCTGTTGCCACAGTGGGAGCCTGTTTGTTTGCCCGTTATATGTAGACACATCATGTTCCTATGTGCATCATTTAGTATCTCCCATCAGAAAACACAAGCTTGTGTTAGGATATTAGCTAATAAAGTTAATAAGCGTATTTTAGTAATTTTTATTTTTATACGCACATTGGCAATTGATGATCAGAGGTATAGAGAAATAAATATTTGGTTAGAAAAATATCCAGGATAGTATTTTCTTAAAATTGTGATTATCTTCACATGCTTAAGACTTGAGAATATGAATTTAAGTGGCAGTGGAAGAAATTTAAAAACAACAATTGGGGAAAAAAATCTTCCCTTATTCAACCCCAGGGGGCAGTGAGTCACCAAAGCATAAAATTATTCCTACTATCATGACTTTAGCTTATTATTCAGGCAGGAGAATAAGTTAAGAGATATGGAAATTCTTTCTTATGTTAAGATTTGTATGACCACTTGATTTTATTGTGACTGCAGAAAATAATGAGTTTCCAGACTAAACTAATCTTAATCTCATATTTTTTTCTTTCTAGGACATCACCCTGAGGTTGACATATAGGAGACCTTTGAGGATGAACTATGGCCAGATGGGAGTTTAGATAAGGGATAGTGTCACTGCCTCTCGTCCTTCTGAGGAATAGGATCCCCCCTCAATTCTCAGACTCCCTCAGGAACGTCTGAGGGCCTACGATCTTCCTGGAAATCTCATCATTTATAATTCCTGGATAATTCGTTTGAGGCTCGGTAGTTGAGTCTCATTCTTGAGCTCCTTGAACTGTAGAATTAATTCCATTGCATCTCTTTTTCCCAATTAGCTTCTTCTTGATATCAGTAGCCTAAGGTGTTCAGGACATGATTGTTAATTGAGGGATAGCCCCTATATCAAAAGGCAGGCTTGGTAATGTAGGAGGAATGGCCGGTGGCCTCAGAAAGCACTTCAGTACCGCTATAGATTGGCAAACTTACTGTTTGCTCTTGCCATCTCATTTTTCAAGTCCACATATTCTTCATATAATGGCCTCAGCTGCTTGCCGACCTCAGCTCTCCAGCCTTCCCAAGCCCAGAGCCTCTCATTGTAGTCTCTGCTGTTCGCCATGATTGCCTCCAAACCTGTTGTAGTAAAGCACCCGGGGGGAAATAAACGTCCAATTGTAAAACTTTTATTTGTAAACAATTACATGAACTTTAAAAAAACTGTATATGAACTTTGAAGAATTAAAAGTAAGGTCAATAGCTATCCGGTTATAAAGTTACTAAATAAAATCTCATGATTCATTCATAGCCTCACCCTGATGACAGTTTCACTGCAATCATTCAATGACTATCTTCAATGACTTGAATGTGAAAGAATTTACAATGAAGTTTTGCTAAAAGCCAAAAGAACATCTATGTGCTGCAATATACATATCTAGAATCTTATCATCTTTGGATTAACCATCTGGAACGCACAGTGTCAGACAACGTCAATCCCAATTTTCAAACTTGGGATAAAAGTAAATCTCATAATCACTATTCAAACATTAACAGCCTACCTGGTTCCAGTAATAAGCATTCCTGTGGGTTATTTGAGTTACAGACTTTTCCAGTACTGTAGATGGTGCTCATTGTATTTAGAATCGTGCTCAGCTGCAAATGAATGACAATAAGTGATGTCAACAGCGGAAAATATGCTAAAGAGAATGCTAATGTGGCCACGTGACTTTTTTTGATGCCTGGAAGTACAGCAATTCACATCTTCTTTGCCAAGTGCCTTCCGATATGCAGGGAAGGAATAGCGCAAGGCAGTTTCCTCAGTGTCATGAGTAATGGACACAACCAGATCTGCCAAAACCCCAAGACTGCTTCTCACCCCTGACTTCACTCTTCCTTTTGTGAGGTTTACTCAGTTTCATCACATATATTACCACGCCCTTTCTCAAATTTGATAAGATTCTTGGAAGTTTCCAATAGAATTAGGTGTTCCTTGTCATTACTAAGAGGATACTTGCTGAAATTTGGGGCTGGGAACCCCACTGCCCTCTTTCATACTGAGGACCATTTTACGGAAATAAGATTGACATTAGGACTACTGAGTCATCGCCTTCCTTTGTGAAAATACAGTTTAGGAAAAGATGTGTTATTGGCACATAAACGTGTGGACTTTTACTTATCTGTGTGCTGGTTTGTTTATTTAAGGAGCAAAAATTAATTGTAAAATGTAATGACATTAAAGAAAACTTTCTTGTTTTAGAATTTAAAAAGGAAATTTGATAAAAGGAATTTTTTAAAGAATGTTTCCCCAGCATACACAAAGAAGTGCATTTTTTGTTTCTGTCTGCAATTATTAAGTCTCTGCTAAGTGCTATACCCTGATAATTCTAAAATGAACAAGTCGTTAGCCCTCAAAGACCCCAAACTCATGGGACAATGAGGCAGCCATGAAATCAATAACTACATAAGAGTGGCAAGTGTTATCGCTGACACCAAAAAGTGATGTGGCAGTGGCAGTATAGGAGGAGGGAAATTAATAACCTGGAGACTCAGGAATGGCTTCAAAGAGGAGGGGACATAAGATCTGTGTCTTGGAGAAAAAGTAGGCATTGGTCAAGTAGAGAAGGAAGATAGAGGTCAAAGCGTAAGATATGAAAGGACGTTGGAAAAGACAAGGCATTTTCAGGGGACAGGGAGATGTTGAATGAAAATAGAGTGTTGGGGTTCACTGGGGGAAGAGGAGGGCATGAGAATAAAGATCATGAGGCTTAGTCTATACCAGAGTTTAAACTTTACCCTGCAGGTGAAAGGGAGTGAAAGTAACAGAGTAGGGGCCAGACATGTGGCTCATGCCTATAATCCTAGCACTTTGGGAGGCTGAGATGGGTAGATTGCTTGAGCTCAGGATTAAGCACTCCTGGTTCAAGACCAGCCTGAGCCAGAGCGAAACCGCCTCTCTAAAAAATAGCCAGGTATTGTGGTGGGCATCTATAGTCTCACCTACCTGGAGGCTGAGACCAGAGAATCACTTGAGCCCAGGAGTTTGAGGTTGCTGTGAGCTATGACTCCATGGCACTCTACCGAGGGTGACAAAGTGAGACTCTGTCTCAAAAAAAAAAAAAAAGAAAAGAAAAGAAAAGAAAGTAACAGAGTAAAGCAGCACTATTCAAAGTGGTCCATGGGCCAGTGAAAGGCAGTAAATAGCTTGTTTTTATTCTGTAATAAATACAGGAATTGAGAGTAAACATCTAAGCATATAATCAATAAACGTGACCAAGTATTGGTCTGCAATGGATGGGAAATGAAGAAAGAAGGGAGGGAGGGAGGAAGGAAGGAAGGAAGGAAAGAAGGAAGGAAGGAAGGGACTGGTTGTTTCCCACAGAAGCACTGAATTAAAGGCCCTATTTCCCCTTTTATGTCCCTCTTCTGTCTTTCTTTGGCTGGGCTATAAGACTCATTATTTTAAAAAATGAAATAGAAGCTCGGCGCCTGTAGCTCGGCAGCTAGGGCGCCAGCCACATACACTGGTGCTTGCAGGTTCGAACCCAGCCCAGGCCTGCCAAACAACAATGACAACTACAACCAAAAAATAGCCGGGCATTGTGGTGGGTGCCTGTAGTCTCCGCTACTTGGGAGGCTGAAGCAAGAGAATCTCTTAAGTCCAAGAGTTGGAGGTTGCTGTGAGCTGTGATGCCACAGCACTCTACGAGGGCTACATAGTAAAACTCTGTCTCAAAAAAAAAATTAAAAACAGAATATCTAGGCTCCCCCCGGGCTAAAGCAGGCTGCTATATGCTAATAGGCATGGTGTCCTTGTGAAAAAGATGGAAAAGCATGGCACGGATAAGGTGAAGTGGATTAATAAATAGTTGGATAATTGGACCCAAAGAATATAAAATAATAAATAGCAACTTGTAGAAAAATACTTGCCATATTGCTTTATCTTTGTCAAGCATTTTTATTTTTGTAAATGCAGATTAGAACATGGGGTGCCAGAGGACAAGCAACTGAGAAAGAAGACTTTGATATTTAATAGAGAAATATTTTAGAGAAATCTTTCAATAGGCTATGTCAGTGGTGTGCAAACTATGTTCTGCTGGCCTAACCCTGTCTGCTGCCTGCTTTTGTAAAGTTTTATTGGAATATAACCACACTTACGGGTTTATGCATTGGCTATGGGTGATTTCCTGCCATAGGAGCGGAATTGACTAGTTGCGACAGGGGCGATATTGCCCCAGAAAACCTGAAATGTCTGTCCGTGTTCAGAAAAAAAGTTTGCTGACTCCTGGGCTGGAGCTATGGAATGAGAGATGCTATTGTAACAGGGATGAATATAGGCTTTCTTAAATTGGGACCAGCTAACTACCTAAGCATAAAGTTTTAAAAGGTGTCCTTTTAGAGCAACACTGGCAGATCTGGAGACTTCATTGACAGGTTGATATGAACAAAGCATGACACAAGGGTATCAAACAAACAAAAAATCCTAGTATAGTCCTAGACTGCCTTAGTCAATGTAGACCACTGGGTATAATGTCATATTCCTGCTCACCTCCATGCAGACCAGAACCCTTCTCTGTTTGGTTCAAGGTTACTGTCAAACTGAAGACATCAACTAGGACCAGTGAAGGGATTCAAAACCATCGTAGGGGAAATTTGACAAAGTGAGGGATGTTTAGCAAAGAGAAGAAAAGACTCAAATAGTTTTTTTAGAATGCCTTTATGTTTAAAGACTGCATTCATGGGAAAGAGCAGTTTGGCTCCAGAAAGAAGAACCAAGTGGAGCTGAGGCACTTCACACCCAACAGAGGGAGTATCTTCCATCAGTGAGAGGGACTCGCACGTGGAACTGCTGTCTTGGGAAGACTTGAATCACTCATCCTAGAACTGGTTTGAGCAGAAGTTGTTAGCCACTTCTTAGAGAAGTTGCAGAGGAGAGGCAAGGAGGAAGGGGAGGAAGAATTAAACTACATATAGGGTCAAGCTTGGCATTATTGGCACCATAAGCAAGGTAATTCTTTGTTATTTGGTGGCTGTCCTGTGCATTGGAGAACATTCAGCAACATCCCTGTCCAGTAAATGCCAATGGTATTCCCCAGCTGTGGCAACCAAAAATGTCTCAAGACATTGTCAAATGTCCCCAGGGAGGCCAAATCACCCCTAGTCAAGAACCATTGACATAGACTAAGTATATTCTTCAGGCTGCCTGATCTTCAGAAAGGTGATCTGCCATGGGGTGTCCATACACACCACAATGCTTGGGACAATCCCAGTTCAACTCTGTGTTTGAATGTAATTATTACCAGTGTCTTCTTTCAATCTCAAAAAGTTCCCAGTTTAGATAATAAATTACATAGTCACCTTACCTAGGCATAGAGCTCCTTCTAATATCAGCATTACTATCCTTATAGATAAAGGAAGCAGCCACGGCTGCTAGTAATGTTTAATATTCACAAAATTTTAACTCTCGGGAGCAGTACTAAAATGTTCACAAACATACCCGTTTATTCTTGTCTGCTGGGAGCGCTGAAGAGCCTCTCTGCTGAAGGGCCTTCAATTGGCGCTTGACTGTACGATTCTGAATTTCTTCTAGTGGATAAGTTTGGGAAATCTTGGACTGTTCTTCATAAAAGGCAGACCGTTTGGCCTCAGCATCATTCTGAAATGATAAGAAATATAATTTAAGTTGGAATGGGACTGCTTGAATAGATAGAACAGAAAATATAGTCCTAAGAACATCTATCTAGTGGAATATTTGGTATTTCCTGAGTATTTTAATCTTCTACTCTGCTGAATATCAAGGTTTAGGTAAAGAGTGGTGAGGTTACTGTCCCTTTCTGACTCAGTGCCCAGTTTTCACAAAGGTCCTGTTCCCAGAACTGGAAGTGAATTCTCACAGATGATCCATATTGTGGTGTCCTGGATTTCTGGCCCTAGTGCTGTGACATGGGGGAGCTAGCCAAGGATTGAAAGATGAATGCTCTAGAAAGAGAACCCAGTAGAGCTCAGAGTGTACAAAATGGGAATACAACCCCCTCATAACAATGAGAACCATAAGCTTGCCACAATAAGCTGCGAGGTGGCATGACTTATCCCAGGGATTTTGTTCTTAAACTGTGATTCCACACAAAGGCTGCCCTGAATAAGGCCCCTAATATGGTCATTTGGTAGTCATGGTAATTTTCTACCAGAAAAAGAAACCAACAAGCACATGATGATGCCAGCACACACTTGTCTCCCATCCTGACCATCAGTATAAAAGTGGATTTCATCAGACTTCTCTAGGATAGTCTTCTCTCAAATGCACAAATTCATTTCCATTTATTGAAGACAAAAATGAGCAACTTCTTTGTATATTTTACTGCTGTTGACCACACAAAAGAGGTAGCATATGAGAGAAGTAAGAGCTCCACTCCTGGAGTCAGACCCTTAGCCTCTCTGAGCCACAGTTACCTGATGTACAAAATGAGAATAATAGTACAGTTTACTTCAAAGGGTTGCTGTAGGGGTTAGAAGAATTAGCAAATAATAAAACGCTTACTAGAGTGCCTGACACATCATAAGCATTCAGTAAATGTTAGTTATTTATTACGTATGGGGCAAAAGTCCTGGTCCTTAGGTTGCTTATAATTTTATCAGATAGATAAGGTATGCATTCTGAATGTCTCATTATTGAAACATTGATGTATAAACTATGGTGAGCCAAGAAGTTTCTGTTATAAGAAAGGAGAAACTCATGCAGGTGACCAGGTTTGGCCAAGCCCTCATGGAATAGTTGGAACTTAAGACCAATCTTAAAGTAGGTAAAAATTGGATGAGTATAGAATATTCTGCAAAATGATTTACCTCATTTGAATTTTCTTAATGATCCTGTGGTATAGAAAAAATCCCTATCTCCATTTTTACACATATATTTATATGTAGAAAGGGATTAAGAGAAATAAATAGTGGAGCTGGTAATCAATCACCAGCATTTGATCCTGGACCCTGCAGCAGACAGACTGTAAGAATACTCCTATGATTATTACTTCTGGTGATCATGCCCTTGTGTGATTTCCTTCCCTTGACTATGAGCAGAACTGTGATTTGTTTCTGACCAATAGCATACAGCAAAAGTAACAGAATATGTATGTTTATGTTACATAAGATTGTAAATTTTATCTTGCTAGAAGATTTTCTTGCTTGCTGACTTTAATAAAGCAAAATACCATATCGTGAGCTACCCTATGAAAAGGGCCACACAGCAAAGAACTGAGGATGAACTCTGATTCACATCCTACAATAAACTAAGGATCTCAATCCAGCAGCACACAAAAATCTGAATGCTAACACCAATCACATTAGCTTGGAAATGGATCTATCCCCAATTGAGACTCAGATGAGACCACAGCCCGCATCTTTACAAGACTTAGAGATAGAAGATCCAACTGAACTGTACCCACTACTGACCCACAGAAACTGTGGAGTAACAATTGTGTATTATTTTAAGCCACTAAGCGTATGATAACTTTTTACATGATACATAACTAGTACAAATCCCAAAGGCAGGACTCCAGGCATGATTGCACTTTCAGGCCAATGAATTTCACTTTTAGACTTCGAGAACTGCGAGTCATTGAGAAGTCTGGGGCAACCATGTGATATGATGGAAATGGTGCATGGAAGTGGCAGCAATAAGTCATATACATGCATAGGAGATGCAGAAAATAATGGCAATTAAAATGGAAAATAATTTCTTGAACACTCACAACTTCTCAGAAACTGCTTCTCGATTAATTTTTACAACAACCTTGTGAGGGAGTTGTTGTTGTCCCTGCTTTACAGATGAAGTAAATGAGGCACAGAGTAGGGAAGTAACTTTTCCTAGGTCACACAGCTAACGATTAGAAGAATCAAGACATAAACCCATAAACCCTTTGGTGTGTTTTCCTCCAAAGCTAAGGCTCTGAACCATTGTCCTATGGATTGTGTTTGACCCATTCTAGTCTTCTCTGTAATAGGCATGAGTGGAAAGGAACAAGCTATGGAAAGGCTCATCTACGCAACTCACCTGACTCACTTCTCTCTTTTTTTTTTCCATCAGAACTCTACCATGCTATTAACTGATGTACCTCATAGAACATCAGCTTACCGATTCAAATCATCTGACTTGACTCACTTCTCAATCTCTACCTTTCTTCACCCACTCTAAGGTGATTGATGGTCAAGCAAAATTTCTGGTAAAACTTTGACATCAAATTATAAGGATAATTTGGTAATAATTTATTCTCAATCTACTAGAAATAACTTACAATCCCCCAAAGGCTTTAGTCTTTGAATATTCGTGCTACATGTGGGAAATTTGGGGATATATGATTTTATTTCATTTATCACTACCACCCTACATATGTTACATGTTTTATCACCCTAAAATTACTTTATGTTGCCTTCATTTTGGCCCCCAAGGACATACTGTTCCTTCCTTAGTTATTCTTTTTAATATTATTTATAATTTATTCTAAATCCTCACCCTAAGGCTCCCAAACCTAAATAAAATAGATAGCTTGGCAGTTATACAAAGAACCAAAGCCAGTTCATAGATACCAAACCGACCATTTAGACAGTGGTTGACAGCGCTATGAGGGTTTTGGATAATGATGGATGGAAACAAATGAATACAGCAGTTTCCATAGCCCCAGGATCAAACGGAATCATTACAGAGAAAATTGGTGGCATTCCATACTACTTCTGTACAAAGCAGGAGAGAAACAACTAAACCAGGAACTATCTCCACAGACGTACGTGGGGGAGTTGAGGACAAGGCACACATTGTTCAGGATAATCAGAAGAAATTAAAACATTGTCTGACCTAGTCCCGTCCTGTGAGAGAGCCTTTGTAATTTCAAGGCCTTGAATGTGCTCAGTCCTAAATTGTATCTTAAAGCATTCAGAAAGATACCCTGCTGTTTTTGACCCTAACTACATACATAAATTAAAAATAATTATTTCACTGGGCTTTTAAATATTTTAATATGAGCTGTGTTTTAAGCTATAGGTCTGGTGGTCTCTGTGCAACTCATGATAATTGTATTTCAACTATCAAAACGCTTTTGAGATTTAAAGTTTTGACATCTTATTTTCTTTTTTCTATAGCTTACTATTCCCTGAACCAGGCTGTACTTTTAACAACCTCTAAACCACTTCTTCCCTGCAGGTGTGAGAGGTCCCTGAAGATAGAAAATGGAAAACTTTGGGCTTAGCGCCTGTGGCTCAAGTGGCTAAGGCGCCAGCCACATACACCTGAGCTGGTGGGTTCAAATCCAGCCCGGGCCCGCCAAACAACATTGAGGGCTGCAACCAAAAAATAGCCAGGTGTTGTGGTGGGTGCCTGTAATCCCAGCTACTTGGGAGGTGGAGGCAGAAGAATTGCTTGAGCCCAGGAGTTGGAGGTTGCTGTGAGCTATGATGTTACAGCACTCTACCCAGGGCGACAGTTTGAGGCTCTGTCTCAAAAAAAAAAAAAAAAAAAGAAAGAAAGAAAGAAAAGAAAAAGGGAAAGAAAGAAAATGGAAAAGTGGAGAGAACCTTAGCATCCATCCAATTCCTTAGAGCTCAACAAATTCCCTGGAAAACCTTCACTTTCAAGTCCAATATGCTGGCCCAGTTTGCAGATATAACCTCTCAAACCACATCTAGTTCAAAGCCGAAAGTTTCTTTGCTTGTTTTTCAATAGTCCCAGGTATTTGCATATTTTTAAAAACACATTCTGTTCAATAAAGTAAGCAATCTAAATTAGAAGAATATTAAGTCTATAACTCCCCCTTGGGATTCAAAGAAGTATTGTTTTCTTTATTTTAGATGCAAGGTTTAATGTTTTAAAATGTAAAAGTTTTAATGAATTGGGCTGCAATAAACATTCTGGTGCAAATGCCTTTATTGTAAAGTGATTTTTGGTCATCTGTATATACAGATGTATATATCCAGTCCCTCAAATCCTGGTTCGGGCACCTGGGGGTGATGGAAAAATAGATGGGCAAGACACTCTGCAGGGTTGGTGTTCTGCACCCACTACGGAGTTACTGAGTAAAGGGAGCGTGGGACACGGGACCAGTAGAGGAATTGCAAGATCGAACAGCAGGTCTACTTTTAGTTCCTTAAGTGTTCTCCAAACTTCCTTCCAGAAGGGACGTATTCGTTTGCATCCCCACCGGCAGTGCAGAAGTGTTCCCTTCTGTCCACATCCACGCCAACATCTGTAGTTTTGGAATTTCGTTATGTGAACTAATCTCAAGCACAATTATGGCCCAGAAAGGAGAGAATAGGAGGACAAGGGGAGAGGAAGGGAGTGGCCGGGTGGAGGGAGGATAATTGGTGGGACCTCACCTATTGTGCATATTGCAAGGGTGCGTGTCAAATAATTAAGAGTAGAATATAAATATCTAAACACAAGTAAATGAGTGAGGTGAAGGCTACATTAACCAGTTTGATGTAAACATTCCAAATTGTATATAAAATCAGCGTATTGTGCCCCATAAACGCAGTAATGTACAGTTATGATATAATACAAAATAAAAAAGGATATACTTGGGCCTTAGCAAAAATAAATAATAAAATAAAATTTTTAATGCTTATGAACATTCTTATTTTTTTCTGAATTTTATCTCATGAGGAAAAAAAAAGTGCTCACCCCTGAATTCCATTTTACTTGCTACAGAGTGATCTTCCCCAGGCCAGCGCCGGTGTGTGGGTATTTATGTGTGTCAAAGAGCATGGGACAGACTCATTAGAGACTGGGTATCTGTAGAATAGTAGTTTCGAATTACCCTGCTCTGAATTCACTGTGTGACTCCAGCCCTGGAGATAGGAATAGATTCAGAATTGGGTGTGTCCAAGGACGCTAGGAGCCCCTGCAGCAGGGCATTGAAGAAGCCCGATAGACCACTGGAAGACTAAGCATGGGCCTCCTGCTCACTCTTCATGAACTCTAATGACTCACCAAGAAATGGTGATGAAGTGTTCTTGGAAACCTTCTAGGTTCCAACAAGGCTGTCTCCAATATCCACTCCAGCTGCATGGGCAGGAGTTTGGGGCAGCTGTAGTAGATACAGTCAAATTCTGATACAGTGAACCAGGATGCCTTTTCCTCTCTCCAAGAATAAAAATGGTCCAGGGACCTCTTACATTGCTGGAGAGCTTCTAAATTTGCTATTAACAATCAACTATGCTGGCTGGGCACAGTGGCTCACGTCTGCAACCCCAGCACTATGGGAGGTGGGAGGACAGCTTGAGCCCAGGAGTTTGAAGTTGGTGTGAATTATGATTGCACCACTGCACTCCAGCCTGAGTGACAGAGCAAGACTCTGTCAAACAACAACATAAAACAACTGTGCCCTTCCTGAAACTGTTTTCAGGAAAGCCCAATTTCTCCCTGAATCATTGGGTTCACCTTTGTATAGGTTAAGGTCAAGATTGAGTTGAACTTAATCTTATTTAAGAAAGATTTTTTGTAGCTTGGCACCTGTAGCTCAGTGGCTAAGGCACCAGCCACATACACTGGAGCTGGTGGGTTCGAATCCAGCCTGGGCCTGCCAAACAATGACAACCACAACCCCCAAAATTGCCCAGTGTTGTGGGGGGCACCTGTAGTCCCAGCTACTTGGGAGGCTGAGGCAAGAGAATCACTTAAGCCCAAGAGTTTGAGGTTGCTGTGAGCTGTGACGTCATGGCAATCTACCCGGGGCAACAGCTTGAGACTCTGTCTCAAAAAAAAGAAAGAAAGAAAAGAGAAGAAAGATTTTTGTTATCTTTCTATTTGCTTAGAATCTTGTTCTTCTTTCTTCTATTGCATCTTCCCAGTTGCTTCCTGTTTACTATGTTCTGGTTAATATAATATAATGAATTGGCTAATTTCCCATACCTGTACCCTTGGGGAAGATTTACAAAGGATCCTATTTCAAAAAACAAACCAATGATAAATTTACAAAAAAACGGGCAATGCAAAATAAAGCAGTACCATTTTAGTGAGAAGATAATTACAGGTTAATTGGCAAATATTCAATTTCAAATATGAGCACTGCATTTGCTGTAAAGCAAGGAGGGCAATTCATTGTGTGACATAGGACAAGAGTCTGGTAATTAATTTTCATTGAATTTCTGAACTATGTGGAAACCTATTTCATTTTTTGTTTTTCAAATAGTCTCACATGTTAATTACCAAACCAATCTACTAGTGCAGAAGCACAGAAACACATAGAAAAATCATTTTCCCACTAAAACATGTCCAACTATCTACATTGTGATGGTGTTTTCAGCTTGATACGTTAAGATGGTGGTGACCTTGATACGGCATAAATATGTCATCTTATTTGTAACTACTTTTCAACCCAATTTGGCTCTTCCCCAGTGTCTCCTCTTGGAAGACACCTGACTCTATTACCGGTTTTCATCTGAATCCATTGGGGAATGGGATGATCTTGCTTTTGTTTCTTGGCCAAGAATCACTTGATCCTGAAAGTCTTAGGAGAAGACAGCAGGAAATGGAGTCAACCACACACACCACAATGGCAGAGAAAGGGACAGAGCTTTGAAAGTCTGTTTTGAATCAAGATGTTCTTCCTTCTTTCTATGTGATGGACCCCTCCACGCTCCCAGGTAGGCAGCTTTTATGATGCTGTACCGATCAAGTTTTTATGTCCTCTGTTTTTTAAGCTATATTCTCACAACTTAATTGAAGAATCACCACACTAGGTCAGATTCATAGGCTGACAAGCCCAACATACTGCCTCCTAGAAGTTATACCAAAGGACAATGTGGAAATGGCAGATTGTCTTCAATGTCACCTGATAGGATATGAACGTGATGAGCATGTCACACATACCAAATTTCCCTTCCTGTCTCAGTTATCTATAGTCACACTATTAATACAAACAACCAAAAATCTCCATGGCTTAAGTGTTTATTGTTTACATGCCTAGAATCACTGGGGGTTGGCAGGCAGCTCTGCAGATCTGAGCTGGATTTGCTTACATCTTTAGCGGTTGTCTTCTGCTGGGGCAACTACTCCACGTGTCTCTTGATTTTAGTTAGCTAGTCAAGTCTTTAGGGCGAAGACAAAAGTACAAATGACAAGCTCCATCACTCGATTGCATTGCAAGACTTTGCATGCACCATGTTAGCCAACAACCCATTGGTCAAAGCAAGTCACATGGCAAAGGACACAGTCACATAACCTTCCTTGGAATGGTATTACCCAGTGCCATAACTTTGGATGTTACTATACAGACGAGTGAAGAACCAGTTTCACCAATGCAATTGGCCATGCTTTCTTACCTACAGTGGATCCTATCTACAATCCATACTGTTGCTTAAATACTTCAAAAACCTATTTAGAGTTTTCAACGTCTCACACGTTTTAGATTGACGAATAGTCCCGTTTTGTAAGTCTTACCAATTTTACCACTTGTAGCGCAAGTGGCACTTCCTTCTATGTGTTCTAAATTTATCCCTTTGATCTTTCAGAGGCACCACCTTTCTTGTACAACTGTGAACACCATCCTTTCTTATTCCATCTCGAACTATTTTTTTCTCTTCTGAGTCAGGCCTCATGCAGCTCCAACTCTCTCTGTTCCTCTTAAATCATTCTAATTGCCCTTTGGGAGGCGGACAGTCTCCATTTCTAAAATTCTTGCTTTGAGCATGACCACCAGTGTTGTGTTCTTAAAGGCATAGGAGAATGTTCTCTGTTTTATTTCCAGAGCCCTCAGAATGGTGATAGCCATCGTGGTCATGGAAACTTATTAAGTTAAAGTGCTTAAAGGACAATCTTGAATAATTTCTGAGTCCTTTTCCTAAGTCAAAGTGATTTCGGATGGCTCATCAGCTCCTAGGAATAGCCAACACCCAGAGGGTGCTGCCAAAAAATGTATACACATCTTAAGAAAGGAAAAAGTGGATTAAAGTTGTAATACTCAATATATACTAATAACAAAAGATGAATACAGGTCACACTGAGCACCTCTTGTGATTCCAGAAGTCAAACATGACTTGAGTATTACGAATTTAATATAGTTTTTCCCCTCTCTTAAAATGTGCATATATTTTTTGGCACCCTCTGTATATACAACTTGGATTTTCTAGACTAATTCCAATTTATATAATTTTACTATATATCACTACGCTTAGAGGCAAAATGATACTTCAGTTATAATTGGAATCTATTTTTTTTTTTTTTGCAGTTTTTTGGCCAGGGCTGAGTTTGAACCCGCCACCTCCAGCATATGGGGCCAGCACCCTACTCCTTTGAGCCACAGGCGCCACCCACTTGAATCATTTTTTTTTCCAAACACTTCTCTGTGCACTCACGATCGGCCAAAAAACAGTTTCATGGAATATTATACATATCTATCTTATTGAAGAACATTTTTCAGAGTTTGTAAAACTTCTTGGAGGCAATAAACATAGCACAAAATCAAGATTAGAAATATTAAGTGGCCCCCAAACATCCATGGTGATTTTGCATATTTTACTTCTTGTCAGTTAAGAATGTGTCATTGCCCAGCAAATGTTCAACACTGAGAATTACACAGCCAGTTATTTTCTTTCTTTGTCCAAGCAAGTTCATTTATAGTTAATCCCCAAGAAGATAAAATTGATCATCAGAGAGTCTCATTAAAATAAATCTATGGTGCATGTCTTGGGAGAGCAGTGCTGGTCTTGGATGAAACACAGGGTCAATTCGGTAGCATGTAAATTTAAGGGAACAAATTCTCCTCTTTGTGCAGGAAAAGTTTCCTGTCAAGAAAGATACGTAATATATTACCCCGGCAGCTGCTCTGTGAATCTTAGAAGCCCCCCCACACCCAAGGTGGGAGATGCCTGCTTACCCCAGCTTGAACGTTTTTATGGTAAATCTTTATTTTAGAACTACCTACTTGAGATAGCAGTTAGACTGAGAACTTTCCAGAATGCAAAGGCCCTGAATAATAATATTGTTTTTGCCAGCACTGATGTTAAGTCCCAGACACACTACCAAGAGTCAAGATCTCTCTCTGTCTCTCATATCATGTATTCATTAACTTCAGCAGTACTATACACATATAGCATGTACTATTACTATTATTGTGGTCATTATCCTCTTCATTTTACTGATAAGGAAACCAGAAAGTTAAGAAACTTGCTGACTGCCCAGGGGCAATGGCTCATGCCTGTAATCCTAGCACTCTGGGAAGCGGAAGTGGGTGGATTCCTTGAGCTCAGAAGTTAGAGACCAGCCTGAGCAAGAGCAAGACCTTATCTCTACTAAAAGTACAAAAGGTAGCCAGGCATTGTGGTAAGTACCTGTGGTCCCAGATACTTAGTAGGCTGAGGCAGGAGGGTCACTTGAGCCCAGGAGTTTGAGGTTGCTGTGAGCTAAACTTATGCCATGGCACTTATAGCCTGGGCAACAGAGTAAGACTCTGTCTCAAGAATAAATAAAGGAAGGAAGGAAGGAAACAAACTTGCCGAAGACCTTCAACTACTAAGAGTCAGAGCTAAGATTTGAACCCAATCCATCTGGCCCCAGAGTCCACGCTTACCGTATCAGACACTTATACTTGATCCCGCTGCACATGCACTCACTACTTCTGGGGTGTGCCTTATCTCAGCCCCCTGCTTATTTGGGTACCTCTTGTAGTACCTGCCACAGTGCCCACTGCATCGGGGGATCAGAGGACAGAAGGAGGTGACATTCCCCTGCCCATTGAGTTCCTCTTTCCCCAGGTAAACGTACACAGGTGCACTTGAAATGCACGAACGCACCCTGCGCTGCTGCGTCTGGCCTGCGAGCAGACCCCTGCTCGCTTCCTGCCCTTAAGTATTCTCACTTTTCCTTCAAAGGGCCCATACTTTTCTCCAGTTTGTGCTCTTTCATTTCAGGTCTTTGCTTTACCAACCAGAAGAAGTCAAAAAGATAGCACTTGAATGACGCAGTTATGGCTTCAGCAAACCTCACTACATCTCATTCCATGATGTGCCTCCTCAGCACCTAGGCTCTCAGCAAAACCGTCGTATGTCTTTTCGAAAACCCTAACTGCCTGTCACACTAACAACCACGACACCCTCCCGCTCTCCCGTGTGCACAAGCATAAGCACTACTCTGATGGTTCTGTGAATTCATTCATTCTCCACAGCAACCCTCTGAGGCAAATAGGAGTTTTATAATAAAAAGCGAAGGTACGGAAAGGTCAAGTTAGCTCGAGTTCACCCGGCTCAAAAGTGATAAAGCCAGGATTTGGACGTAAGCAGTCTGGCTCCAGAGCTCTTAGCCATGACATTCCTCGCCACCTTTCAACTGAGAATGAAAACAAACACACAATACACTGCAGTTGCCTCCAGCAGAGATCAAATAAAAATTGGGGGGGGGAGAATGAAAAGATGAAGAGATGAGAAGAAGTAAGACCAATAGCATCCCCCATGGGAAAAAAAAACTGGACTATCAAAATCTCTTGAGCTCTCTTGAGCTTTAGAAAAATAGAAGGAACTCTCTTGGGGGATTTCAAATGCAGGAGTAGGTCTCAGATTCTATCTGTTCAGTGAGCGATAGTAATTCAACTTAAACATGTAGCTGTAACCCCTAATTGCTTGAACAGATAAGCTTCGGAACTACATTTCTAAGTATTGGTGAACAAGGACCACGAAGCTCTTTCCTTAAATAATGGTGGAAGTTCCAGCACTTAAATGTGTACAGACGCTACCTCAGCGTCTGGGAGAGAAGACATTTCTAAGTCCTTGCCCTTGTCAAACAAAGCATCTTGCTTTCCCAGAACGTTCTGAGATTCATCAGAACGGGTTTGTTTTTGTGTTGTTTTCTTTTGTTTTTGTTGATAGCTCGTTTTTTCATTAAGTCTGCAATTGCATTTTTCAGTTGATACATCATTTGGAGAAACTCTTTAGATATTTCGGCTGACATTGTAGGCTTAGAGAAAATGAATAAGACATAGCCACAAAATTCTTTGAAACCTCGACTATGATGAGAATTATGGTGATAACTTTATAAAGCATATTCACGTGTTCTAAGAATCTGAAGTGAGAATAGTGAATTATTCTGCAACAATTTTCCCGATGAACCCCCCCCCCCCAACCTCACAACTCAGAGCATTCCTTTGAGTCCCCTTTTCGGTTTTTGGCAGTAATCTAATCTTTGAGAAGCAACAAATGCAGCCGTGAGAACTCACCATCTTTTGGGCATTCTCTTCAGTAATATTGGTGTTATAATCCCAAGAAGCAAGTGCAGCTTGATGAGACAACTCTTCAACTTCACGATTAAAGTTGTCCAAAAATGTCTTGGCTTGTTCTTCGGTGGTGGACTGAGCAGCAGTTACAGCAACAAGGCTGAGCAGGAGCCAGAAAGAGCTTGACATCTTCCCTGGTGAGCCACGATCACATTCACTGAATAACTGTCCCTAGAGTTAAACCTCCTCCTGAGATTTGTCTCGCATCAGCCTTTGAACTTGGGTTGGGCACTGAGCAGGAAGAACCAAAAAAAAAAAAAGAAAAAGGAAAAGAAGAAGAAAACAGTAAACACTCTGCTGAATCAACATAAAGTTCGTCCTGCAGAGGACAGATATGTAGCAGATTTCAGAAAAAAATTTTGAAGTAAATTGAAACATTGTTCATTAATCCTAGGGAACCTCACTGTCCTTTCACTCTCTGGCCAAATCAGAGCTTGTGCATTTGGTTAATATGCCTCTTAAAAATCTGTTAAAGATATACTGAAGATGGTGTTATTTTACAGTAACCAAAGGGGTCTACAGTTAGGGATCATGGGGCTAGTCTTTGTGATCATATGTTTTTCAGACATTTATGTTAATAGTTATCCCTCATTTATTTATTTATTTTGCAGTTTGGGGCCGGGGCCGGGCCTGAACCCACCACCTCTGGTACATGGGGCCGGCGCCCTACCCCTTGAGCCACAGGCGCTGCCTCCCTCATTTATTTTTATTTCAAGCTCATATTCACAGACACTCTCTACCTGGGTAATATTTTCTCTTTTAAATAAATGACTTTGTCCTTGTTTCTAGAGACTTCATTTTTTCTAATTAGTTTTAATTCCCATGGCCGTTTTTTGGTCTTCTTTTTTTTTTTTTAATTTCACGTTAATATGAGGATACAAATGATTAGCTTACGTTGCTTGCATTTCTAAGGTAAAGTTCAAGTTGTAGTTGAGCCCTTCACCCAGGGTGTGTGCTGTGTATCCTTAGGTTGTGAACACTGGATGAGAAGAGCACAGCAATCCCCCTCCCTGCTCCCCTCTGCCTTTTCCCTCCTCACCTCTCTCCTGCCTTTTGGGTGGACTTGAAGCACATTCCTCTTAGCAAAGTGTCACAAGCATGGAAAAGAAAGTAGCCAGCGTCCTCGATGCCAACAGGAAACCATCAAAAAAACGACGACATGCCCCCAGTAAGAGACAAACACAAGTACAGCCATTTTTTTTTAACTTTCAAATTATTATGAGGGTACAAACAATTAGGTTAGAGTGTTTCCATTTGTTAGGTAAGGCATAACGTAAGACTGCTTTCTCTCGGCCCCACAATTTAAGTCTCCTGATCTGGCTTTGAACTTACAAAGCCTCATGTCCTATTTCCCAGATGACTGTTAAACATTGGCTGCCTTCATTATGTGCCTCCTTGCCTTTCACTTACCTTTTCAAAACCCAGTTAAGGCCACAGGACAACCCACAGAAGTCACAAGGACTCCACATGGTATGGAATCCAAGTAGTGTCCATGTCAAATTCTGGTCATCCATAGACATAGGATCATGGCAACATAGAACTCAAAGAGATCTTAGGGGCTATCCTGTTGAATCTCAGCAGCTGGTTCAGTGTCCTCATTCCCAGGGTACAGACATGAGCGTCATTAATAAGAGAAGAGTCACTTTAAGTGCTAGGGTTCATGGGCCTGATTGTGATGATGAAACCTTCACACAAAGAAAATATTTCTTCACCCAGAAAAACAAGTCTTCCAGGTTCAAGTGAAATGGCAACAACCAACCTTCAAAAAAAAAAAACAAAACAAAACAAAATTTCTACTATTTCTCTTTATTCCAAAGTTGTACATATTATTATAGAATGGGGAAAATTTATAAGGAACTATTCAAAAGGTTTTTGTGTTGTGATGTCTCATTTAAGCAGCACAATAAACCTATAGGCAAATGTTTTATCACCATTCTGTGGATTATGAAATGGAACTGAACTAAGCTGTCAAACTGCACTCAGCTAATAAATGGTAGAGCCAGGACATGGATCCGTACAGTCTGATTCTGGAGCAGTGATTTTCAACCAGTGTGCCAGGAGAGGATCTTAGGTGTGCCAGGAAAATTTTTAAAGATCATTGATTTAATGATTTTTCTAAGGAAGTTCAAAGCACAGTACATATGTGCTTTTTTACATTCGTTTTTTGGGATCAACATAATTTAAGTGTGCCACAGAAATTTAACTATAGGTTCAAGTATGCTGTGTGATTAAAAAAAAAAAAAAGGTTGAAAAACACCGAGAGTATAAACTCTGAACTAAGCCATACTCAACAGGCTACTAAGAGCAACAATGGACGCAGTCAAAGAGTGGTGGCAGAGGGCCTGGTGCCTTTGGTGACGATGACAGATTTGGTTCTACTACATCAAAAGGAGGTGCATTTTCACCCTCCTTAACGTAAAGCAAAGTACATCATCCATGAAAGAAATAAATCAGTTGACAAATTTAAGTAATAATAATAAAGAATGGTAAAACAAAATGTGATGATGGGGGAAAAATTAGTGCAGAAGTTTCAGAAAGATACCTCCCACATGTGAGGAAGCGGAGATCCACTCCCTTCCCACAAGCATCAACAGAAAAAAAAAAATAGATAAGAAAAAGGAGGGCAGCGCCTCCGGAGTCCCTGAACAAAGACTTGGAATGTTACTGTAGTAAAAGCTTAAAGAAAACCTCTACTCAAGTAACTTCCTGAATGAAGGACTTGAGTATAGGGGTAAAAAAACAAAAAACAGGAGTAAGTTCAAATTTACTGAAGCAGAAAATAAGATTCACATGATTCAATTAAAATGGAGGCAGCAAGATATAAACTGTGGAAGTTAAAAACAGATGGACTAGGAGCGTGAAATACCAGTGAGGCAAAAAAAAAAAAAAAATGCTGGAAGCCAGAAACTGTGAGAAGTGGGGGAGATGGGAGAATTGTCTACAGTGATGTGTAAGGAAAACCAGCTCACAATGGCCAACTATAACCACCCACTAAACTGTGGGAATCTTGGGTCACATTCCACTGGAAAGGTGTTGATCTTTTGGAGCCCATTTTGAGAGGGGAAAGAATGCACTGAACACCTAGGGGATGGGACCCAGAAAAGTGATGGGCTTAAAAGAATGTGTTATCTCTGAGACGGAAAGGAGAACCAGCAAAAATCAGAAGACTGGAGATGCAGGGAAGTTGTTCTATTTTCAAAAAGGCCAGGGAGGGAGTGGAGTTCATGAATGGTAGAGGGAAGAGTTTGACCCTGACACCTGACAAAACCATAAAGTATAAGTTTGAGAGTCATACTTCTAAGTTTGCACTTGGAAAAACATAGCTGTAGTCCACTAGGGATTCACTAGGAACACTCCAGATGCTGCCTGCCTTATTTTCTGATAAAAGAATATGATAGTTAAAAAAAAAAAAAAAACCCAAATACACAATGTATCTTCCATTTAAAAAAGGGATTTGACAAAATGTAAAGTACAATGACCAGATCTAAATGTCTTCCAAAACAGCCACCCAGGATAGGATTAGGCAGTTCTCTGATAAACAGGTTCATGTCCCAAACAACAAGAATCTTGACTCAACCATTCTTTATTGACCACCTACTACATGCCAAGCACTATTCTTGATGTTGAATACACAATAGCAAATATTGTGTTATATGAGGTGAGGGTAGAGGGCAGACACAAGTAGGTGGGGATAAATGCTATGACTTACACTAAGCAGGAAACGAAGGATAGAGAACTATGGGTTTAGGAGAGAGATTTTCTATAAGGAGGGCCTCTCTGAGAAGGCGACACTTGAGCAAAGACCTGCAAGAAGTGATGAAAGCCATGTGGCTATCTGTGGGAAGAATTTTCTGGACAAAGGGAACAGTAAGTGTAAAGGGTTTAGGCAGATCTCAAGAACCTTAGAGACCTTCGTCTTGGCCAGAGCTCAGTATGCCGGGCAAAGTGGCAGGGAGTGAAGTGGAGGAGGAAGCTGGAGTCACAGCAGGACTTGGCTTTACTCTGACAATGTGGGAAGAGGTTGGAGGGCTTCACGCAGAAAGGCAATCTGGCAAAAGTTTTAAGAGGGTCATTCCGGCTGCTGCTTTAAAAACAAACAGTAAGGAGCTAAGAGCAGAAGCAGGAAGACCAGTTAGGAAGCTACTGCACAGCCCAGTCAAGGTGGGTGAATGAAAGCATTATATGAACTGTCAGTCCAACTTGGATGTCCAAGAAAAGATAAATCCATCTTAGACTATCTTAGACTTTGTTAATAGAAGTATTAGATACAAAATTATCTAGAGCATCCTGTTCATTTCTGAGGACCACAAATTTAGAGAAATACAACACAGTATCCAGAGGAAAATAAATAAGAGTGGATGGATCCAAAATAATGTAACTTGAAGGACAGTTCAGACATGGAAGAGAAGACTTAGGGTAGACAGCTGTCCTCCACTCGGCCACTTTTCAGTTGTATGACTTTAGGCAGGTAATGGCCTCCCTGCCCTTAATTTATCTCCAAGCTGACGATAGTATTGTACCCACCTCATAGGGATGTTGTGAGGATTACATGAATTAATGCATGAGAACACAGAGAATAATGCTGGAAGCCTAGTAATAAAAGCCACTCAAAATAAGAGGATTGATGCAATAAATTAGGGAACTTCCATTCTAGAATGTTTAAGCAAACTATCTGCAAGGTCGTCTTTCAAGGACACCACAGCAGAGACTGGCTGGGAGCTTTCCTCAAAGGCCTATCTGAACTATGGGATCCAACATCAGAGAAGTTTGTTAGCCTGTGCTGAAACAGGAGCATGGGGGAGCTCACCAATGGAAGGAGTGGGGTCGTTTGTGAAAGGAAAAGGGTGTCAGCCAAGATCTGCATGAGCCCACCCATGGAGAAGCTCTAGATGGCTTGATCAGCTAATGCCTTGATCAGGTCCTGACTTAAAACCTATATACAGAAAGAGAAAGCTCCAGTCCATCGCTGCTATTTCAAGGGAGAAGGGGAAAGTCATGAATGTAAGTGACTCCCTCCCAATCCTTACACGTGTCTGTTCCTCACCCTCATTTTGCACCAGGCTCTGTACATAACCTCTTCACAACAACCTTTACAGGTAGGAATTGTGAGATCCATCTTATGTTTAAGGAAACTGAGCATTCCCACAACTAACCCAACCCCTCACGAATGATAGGTAATAGGGCTGCATTTAATCCCAGGCTTTTTAAGTGACCTCTTCTCTCCACAGAGT